TCTTGCCTCATCTTGTTCTTTTCGGCTGTCAAACCGTGTATAGAAAGGGATGTAAGATTCATCACCCTTCCCTTGTTCCCATTGTGTTGCCACATAATGTACTTTTTTAAATTCTTTTTCTTCATCTTCCATTTCCTCATGAATATTCATCACTCTTGCCCCCTGAGAGGGCTGTTTGCCATGCATTCTTCCTGCGCTAGCTGCACTCGCATAAGACGTCGTTCCTGCGCTAGCATTCGCTCCCCCTTGTCCCGCCCTTTTTGTTTGCACACTTATGACATTTCGTTTCACCGCCGTAGCTTCAGTCGTATTCCATGCCAAAACTTCTAGTGCATCCATTAAGTCCCGAATACTGTCATACGGTACAGCCATCAGGTATTTTCCCTTAAATACATCCACCGCGATATTACTATATTGGTCGCAGACACTGTCACGCACTGCTAGCTGCAACACATTGTCTTGCGCACTCTCATGGCCGACACTCATAGCATTCTGCACCAAGGCTCTTAAAGTATTCATATATTCTGAAAATGGTGTTCCTGCATCCACTTCCAAGTTCTGCAAAGCAAACACCACATGTTGCGGCGTCGCCATGCTAAGCGTCCGGGTTAGCACCCTCACCAAAAAGTTGAGCGCTTCCCTTCCTGCCATCCCATTTTCCAACTGTTGCCTGGTTTGGCTGAAGGACGAAGTGATCTTCGCCTTTAGATCTAACCCCTGCGCGTTAGGAAGGCGCGAAGACACGGAATTCAATACATGTTTTTCAAGTGCAATGTCCCATCCTCGCACCTAATCTGACGATATCGAATTATCTCTTGCCCCCAACCTCAATTCTTCCACGTTTTTAACCAGAGTAGATGACAAGGAAACAGTTTCAGCAACACTCATGCGCTGGCCAGCTAAAAGCGGCAACCTCATCAGATTAGCTGTGGCGTACGTGGCATATTTTTGTCTGATTGCCGTCACTTGTTCCTTTGATAGGCTTTCGTCATCAGAACTTTCTTCTTTTGCCTCCGTTGAATTCTCTAGCTCCACTGCGCTGTTAGGTACAGAGGATGGTTCTGTCATACTCGGCTGCACAGTTTGAGGCGCGTCTATCACCGGTAGGGAAACCGCTGCTGTCGCTGGGGCGTCTACTGCCCTCGGAGACTCCACCCTTGCGAAAGTGACCACAGGAGGCAATTTTGTTGCTTGCACCATAGGAGATTGTTCCATACCAGAGTTTATTTCTCTCGCCTCCATGTACCTATGGTTCGCTGGTTTTGCCGCATACATCGGAATGCCATATTCATAGCCATAGCTGTCGACATACCTACCATTTTGCCAGTGCGGCGGCGGCTGTCCTTGGGGTGTGTGGAATGGTCCTTGAGGGTACATCATTCCTTGGGGCGGACCTCCCTGGTATCCACCTTGGTATCCCTGGACCGGGTACTCCCCCGACCCACCTCCACCAAATCCACCTCCCATTCCACCTCCCATTCCACCATCCATTCCTCCTTGTTCCTTCCATCCTTCATTCCTTTCCCTGCATCCTCCTCTCTGAAAGTGTCCTTGCCCCCGTCCCTTGCCCCTCGGAGAGAACCTTCCCTATCCCCTTCCTCCTCTTCCGCCTCCTCCCCTTCCACCCCCTCTGCCACCCCTGCTCCTGCTGCCACTAAACCTTTGGCTAGATGACACCGAGCCGGGGGAACTAGCACCAAAGATCGTCCTAGTATCTTCTGAATTCACTTCGAGAGTGCCCGAACCCCCAATAATTCTCCTTGTGGGTCTCTGCTCCACCTCTTCTGCCTTTACTTCGACAGAATTTTCCTCAGAGTCTTCCTGTTCGATTCCCATGTCTGCCATGACTTGGGCAGTTACCGACCGCGTGTCTAAACCAGGCGAGCTCGCGACGATCTCGGCCACTCTTTTCATCAGTTCAGCCTCCTTCACGCTCGGTTTCTTCGGAATTTGGTACTCCTTCCTCTCTTTCTTGTTCAGAGTCTGCTTTTTCCCAACCTTCTCTTGGTCGGCTGCTTCATCCCTCTGTTTTAATGAGGATGGCGCCAGTGGCTTGAGAGGTGGGTACTCCCCCAACTTTCCCCGAGCTTGTTTTTCATCTCAAGTGCATCCTCTTTTATCTTCCTGAGGCCTCTTACTACTCTCTCTTGGTCCCTCACCGCCTGCTCTGTTTCAACACATCTGGCCTCTTTACCTTGCCAGGTATCGTTCGTCTGCCTGGTAGCTGTGTGTGCTTTGAGGTGATCAGTCTTATTGTCGTGCGCTTTGTACTTGTCTTCACGCATTTTTTCTGCTACCGTTTTGGCCACCTGGTACACCATTCGGGCTTTATCTAATTTTTCCTTGGCCTCTTCCTCCTCCTTTTCGGCTGACTGAACTCGGCCTACCGCGATTTTTTGCTCCTCCGCAAGAAATTCATGCCTTTCCTCGAATTCGGCCGCAATCCTCTCTTTCTCCTTTTCATATACCTCCCTAGCCGCGCGCGCTAGCCTAACGTCTTTCTTAACCTGGTGCAACCGGTTACTCGATCCCAAGAACCGAGCCTGTGTCTCTGCTGCCGTGCGTGCCGCCTTTTGATATTCAGTCAAAGGGACCTGCTGGGGTGGGTGCAAGAAATGTTCTTGCGCCCGTGATTTTCTCGGCTTTTGGCGCGCGACCGTG